TTTGTGGCCTATTCTCAAAAGGACCTCAGAACAGTCCCAGTTGGATGACCCACATCGGTTTGCATATCGCTGCTGGAGGTCCACCTTGGATGCAGTAGTATGTCTGATACATAAAACGCTCTCGTCACTTGAACTACGGAAGACTGCAGTCTACCCCACACGTAATGGCGGCTACCTGATACGTAAAAACCTTTCAAGTCATAAAATTCGGTCGACTTTCTTCTTAGTGAGATACACTTCTCTATGGAACAAACTACCCCTACAGATACGCATGTGTACAAGCCATGTCACGTTTGAAATCTCCTTCAGACCTTCCTCACTATACCAAATGCTTTGAAGATATTTGTCTCACAGCAAACACTAGAAACATTGACAGAAGTTGGTATAAAAAACAAATGAGAAGATAATCGCATACAGCTAGCTTACCCACTACGTGTCATTACATATCTCACCAAATCCTGTGTCTGCAGCCTAGTAGTCCCTCTCTTTGTTATCTACCCCTGATGATACAAACATCCGTAAATTTTACATATGAGTTGCACGGGTCTAGGACTCAAGGAAAAATAATCATGATTCGAAATGCCATCAATAAACTTTTCTTTAATGTTATGAAACGTATTCACTATACAAATGATCGTTCCCACTTATGGGGCCGTGTACCGTCTGTCGGTAAATATACAATTTCATTTATTTATTTATGTAAATCCATAAGCATCCGCCCCCTGAATTCTAGCAACGCTTTCGGCTGTGTAAACCATGAACTAGTGTTGCGCGATTTATCAGTTCCGGAGTCCAAAGTTCTGTTGTTCTTCCGTTGGAAGATAATTTTACCAGGCGTACCTATATTGCTAGTTTATTTAGAAAAGACTCTTCTTCAATCACCGCAAACTGGTGTTCTTCAGGGAGCCATTTTGTCCCCATTTTTGTTTTCCAGTTAGGTTACCTCAATTCCCGTCCCTGATATAGCCATCCTGCTGAAGTATGCAGACGATGTAATCCTTGTCGTCCATCATAAAAGTGTACATTCATCAGCAAAGCTACAAACCATATTGAACAACTTCACAGTTTGGTCTAAATCCCGTTGCATACCGTTAAACACATCAACATGCAAGCATGTCCTTTTTACAGTGTTCAGAGGAAATCGCTACTGGCAAATCCTGACGCAGTGTCTACAGCTTTGCATTGGCGCCGAAAGTTTGACCTCTTCCATTTTAGTAAAACACTTGTGCGTGACGCCTACTTGCTTAGTTTATGAGAACGAAACATTCGCTAAGGTTAAAAAGCTCTCTTTCTATGTTACTGATCTCAGATCACCTTCCGCACCCCGATTTTCTCCTGCACCTGTGTTACCCTACTCGACGTATTGATTGCCTCTGTATCTTTCCTGGTCTCTTGAGTATGGACTTTAAAATAATTGCCAGATTAGTGAATTTGCTATCCACGTGTAGTGAGATTTCAAGGATGGAAACCATCAACATCACTGTAGTCAACCACGTCAACTCCTGTAATAAGTTTGCAACTAAGATACTCACATATATTAGCCATATCATGCACAGAGTGTTGTCTGAATGCATATCAATCTCCTCTACCAGACATGTCTATACAACTCGATAGGCCCGCACAAGGGCCTATGGTATATAAGTAGTTCTTTACCTGCCACCTTTTTGAAGAGCAAAAATTTAGTCATTCAAGAACTGATTAGTAAATTAGTCTAGAGATATTTGCTCTGAAAAATCTTTTTGTATGGCTCATGGTTTTATACTTATCCACATGTACTATTTCCTTCATTATTTATCCCATGCCGTGGCGCGTGTGTTATAGCTGAATATTCCCCTTTTAAGTTTACATAAAGCACATTCTTGACTTGACTTGAGTACCAAAATGAGGTGGCTTTTCTAGCAGACTGATGTAGTGGTCGCAGCAACCTAGGTGTGTGTTAGAAAGAAATCTCCGTTAGACCTCCAAGCACCTACCTAAGTTATACTTTGAGAATGGTAAGGTCCAACTGAGTGGTCTATAAACGAAACCATCACACGCGGATCCTAGCCAGTGTTGGATGTTTGAGTAGCTTGTTGCTCGCCCTTTGAGCTGCAGTCGTCTGATAACACTGCTCATTCCAGCAGGACTAAATAAGTCCACCACGTTCGTTATGTACAGGTTGTTTTAACTGAGGTAGTTTCTACCGCCACTCTAATGACCATTTTAGGCCTGTTGATCTCAATCCCCTCAGAATGTTTTTACTGTTCTTCTTGTTTACTCCAGGATCAGTGCTTGGAGCGTGCATCACTGCCACCGAATCTCTTGGAAGAGTACTCTATTCAATCTGCGGTCGCATATCTTTGCACACAGCTCTTATCATAATATAAGTAGCCAAAGCCTCAGAATTCACAAGTCAGGTCATAGAAGGGTTAGGAACAGGTTAGTAACATACCAGTTTCACGATGTTTAATGCTAAAACCCAAGACACCAGTGGATGGATTGCGACGGTAGGAGTGTTTTGGCGCGGAAGATAACGATAACGTGGAAAACTGCGGAGCATCTAGAACGAGCAAAGATAGAAACAGACACGGATGGCATGGAAGAGATCAGACGGCGTGACGCAAGCCCCACAGAACGAACGGAGGGCGGATCGCAAGCGACGAACGGTGGAAGGCCTGAGCCAAGAAGAGCAGTAAAGATATTGGTCCAAAGACCAATAAATCAGACAGAAACGCCTTTGTTGATGCAATTAGGAGTAAATTTGATTAAGCAAATCAATAACCAGACTGGTCAGAGTCCGATTTGCGCAAGCGAGGATGCAGGGTCAAACAGGCAGCCATGACCCACTAACTTTGTACGAAACCACGCAGGACTTGTAAAAAATTTTCCGTCACACTAGGCGGACAAAGGTTTATCCGGCGACTTCACTGTTTTTTAGTTGTTCTTCCTTTATGGTCGTTTATTCCTTTGTGAAACCTCTCAGGAAAGGTGTACCTGAGAAATATGTGAATATTATCCGAGCATTATATGCGCGTAGCTCGGGCAGAGTGAGGTCTTAAGGCAAGTTGTCGTCGCTCTTTAATATCTCCAGCGGCGTGAGACAAGGATGCCCGCTGTCACCTTTCCTATTCAACTTTGATGTTGAGGAAGTTATGGACATCGCGTTTACAGGACACGACTTTGAAGGTGTGGATCTGCTCCCAGGAGAACGACTTCTTGACTTAGATTGTGCTAACGATATTGCCCTAATCTGTGACAGCTCACAAACGTGTCAGGCGGCACTGGACAGATTAGCACTAGCTGTCCGTCACCTCGGCCTTGCTTCGCACCCTCGAAATGCAAAGCGTTCCTCCAAGATTGGCCTGGACCGCCTCCTACGCTGACCGTTGGTGAGGATCAGCTAGAAGTCGTTCAAAAATTCAACTACCTGGGAAGTTGTATCGGCGCCCGTGGGATTGAAGATGAAGTCACGAATCGTATAGCAAAAGCTCGAGGCGCTTTCGCTAACCTTCGCCACTTATGGCGCCGGCGCGACATCACTCTTGCCCTGAAGGGTATAGTGTACAATGCAGTGGTACGTTCGACCTTACTGTACGGTTGTAAAACCTGGCCGCTTAAAGCAGCAGACCTGAAGAGGCTAGTTACGTTCGACCACCGGTGTCTTCGTAATTTAGCTCACATTTGGTGGGAACACCGCGTGAGCAACGAGCGTGTTCGACGCCTTGTTTACAGCACAGAAAGAGGAACTGAACCGCTCAGCACTGTCATTTCACGCACCAGGCTGCGATTGCTCGGCCACGTGTTACGCATGCCAGCCCACCGACTCCCGCGACGTGCGTTGTTTGCGCGCCGGGAGGGTGGATGGAAGAAGATGAGGGGTGGCCAAGCGATGACTTGGTCCAGAGGAATAAAGGCCCTCACTTCGGAGCTGGCCTCGGCTGGAGCGTCTCGGCTCCCTGGTTGGGGTCCGAAAGAAGATGAACACGTTTGGTTGGACACACTTGCTGATATGGCTAGGAGCCGACCTCAGTGGCGTTCGTGCTGTGAGTTTCTTTGTCCCACCCCATCTCTCTTAGCCTCCCTCCAACCACGATCTCATTATTTAGCCTTATATAATTTTACATGGTAATTTTTTTTGGTGCACAGCAGCCGGCTGGTAGCTTACCGGAACGATGCCCATCCGTTACCGGTAGCTCAGCCAGCTTGCGCCAGTTGCTTTTATTTTCTCTCCTTTTTTCTATGTATTGCGGCACAGTAGCTGAGGTGTTCCCCACCTCTAGCTAACGTGTATGATGATGATGATTTGAAAACCCTCAAATAGCATCCGGCGGAACATGTTAAGCTTTGGCTATTTATCCGTAAAATACCATTGACCATTGACAGTTGTTAGCCAAAATTGCTGCACTCATTTTGTGTATTTGAAATGATATGCATTTGTTAGTTCCAGGAGATTAGATGAAGTACCTCAGTTGGTTAAAACTACGATAAATATCTAAGTCATGTAAAGCCGCAACGACTTGCTTGAAGCACATTGGGCCGTGGCGTTGAGCTGTTGTACCCCAGAATTAGTACTGATTGGTACTTGCCGACTGCAACATCGTTGTTGCGGGAACTAAAATCTGGTAAACGAGCGCACTGTTTAGACTGCGTGTGTTGTATTGTAATGGAATCAGGATGCGCCATTGGCTCTATCGGGAGTAATCCGACCTGAGGAAGTTTGCAGCTGAGGAAAATAAGCAAACTGCGATTCCCATTAGTGTTCAATCTGTTCTCTTTCCCACAGATTGGGTATTCAGCTTGGCAAATTTTCCGAGGACCGCCTGATAATATTAAAATATTTAGAAAGTGCACATTCCCTATTTGTATCGCTCAGCATGTTATGTAGAACGTCGTCATAAAACGAAGAATTAAGATAGTAACGAACTGCCGCGTAATCGCTCTGTACTAACGAACTCTGTAGTCTAACCTAACTCAAAAGCAAATGGTTGTTTTCGCCTGAAGATACGACACCTTTGGGTTTAGTAAATTGTAGGTGGGTATATTACTTTCATTCCTATGCAACGTTTAAATGAAGACCATAGGAGCAGGCGCTTTTTGAGCCGTTATTCATGGTACCCAAGTTCATTTCGGTTGTTTTTAACACCGTCATCCGTGCCTTCGTATTCATAGTTGATTGGGCTGTCCTGTGAACGCCGGGAGTCATTGTCATCGGGGGCTTCCGTAGGATAAGCATACACATCATGCAATCGGCTTGAATGGTGGGATTCACTGGCCTCTTCTTCTTCTGTAATGTAAAGGCAATGAAAAGCGTGCCCATATGTTTTTGAATCATACGTATGTAAAGGATTTGATAAATAACTTGTTACCGACGCATTTGTTGTGCATTTGAGCATCATGTAATACAACAAGCAGTCACCACTGACCTACGAGACTCTTTTGCAAAATGTTAGAACAACGATTTTGTAACACATGTCAAACAATATCCAGGCCACAAGATGTACAAAATACATGTACTCAGAATGCAACTAGCCATCAAGCGAGTCTAAGCCGAGGCAACACACAACTGAGGCGCGATCAGTCACAGACCTAAGAGAGTTGTGGTCAGACGCGATTCTAAGCGAAGTGATCGTAGTCAAATCGATCGATGTATAGTTTACATAAGTCGGTGGCGAGGGAAATGTATGGGGATATAAGTGATTAGCAACACTCGAGTTCATTCTGTTAGAATATCTCAGTGAATCAAGGGCTGAAGTTTGTAGTACATTGGACAGCAAGTATAGCTGACATCAAAATGCGTTTGCTTGAATGTGGTGGAATGGCTTCAACTGTAGTGTTAGGCCAAGAAACTCTGGGCAAAGTAGAAGGGGAACAGCGACGCTCCTGGTGTTCATCACAGCATGCTTTCTGCCACACCGTACTTGCTACTCTCCTTTGATTATGTCAGACATATTAGGTGGACATTCAAACCTGCCTGACAGGTCGCTGAATATATTGTCTCAACGCAGCGGTATTCCAAAGCTAATTTTGGTAGAAACAATTTTATCTACCCATGTTAACTCTTTTGTACTATCTTCCTCGAAAATACTCGTCAGTAGCAGCCACACTCTGTACACAGCACTGTCTAACTATGTAACTACCTCAGCAACAAGCCAAAGTACAGAGAAGTACATACGCGCACGCATGCCTTCGGCTCGACAGCTACTTCCTATTTAGTCAGCATTCTACCCGAGTAGTGCGCTACTATCTAAGCGATGAACGGGAAGGATACTAGTGTGGTTATGTTATTCACTGAATTTTATATTTCGCTGCTGGTTTGTCATCATTGGACTACTACTATCTTTTATCATGTCGATGGCATGTGTGCTACGGCGGACAATTCGCCCCTCATGTATGCATAAAAACATATCTTTGACATGACTTAACTAAAAGCTGAACGTTGGTAACATAATCGACATTGGAAGTGGCATCCTCACTACTCAATAGCTTGCATTTCCCTTGAACAGATCAGTTTGACCTTGTTCAGAATAAGATACATACACGAAACATTTGATTATTTAGATACCAACAAACGATGATTTATGATAGATATGTAACCTTACAACATTAACCGTGAAATACATCTAATCTCATTGCAGTTTCTGTTTTGCACTTTTGGAATAGGAAAATTATAACATCAAAAGGTGGCGCCTTAAAGTACGCATTATCAACTTGACACCAAACAAATAGTGTTTATGGAATCACCTGTTTTCAAAGCCAACCCCTGGTATTATTGCATATCACATATCTAAAATCTAGCAATTCTCATTTACCGGATTGACTTACCACTACTTGCGTATAGCGCATCATGTGATTGCCCCATATCAGACTGTTCTAGTTAGGAAGGGGATAAGTTAGCATATTATTCGAAGAGTATCTTTCAGGAACATAATTATGACAAAATATAGGTTATAGGATATTTTAAAATATAACTGCATACGCTATGATTTGCTTTAAGCATCTATATCGATCGTTACGAAATTTATCTTGTACATCATACATGCATTGCCCAATTTGTTCAGTTAAACAAAAAGAAAAATATGATTAGGGAATAGGTTTTGCCAGGAAATTACCTAGACGCTATACAGCTTATGGCTATATCGGTAGAGCAGATCGTAAAGGTCCGTCGACAAATACCAGCTTTGAGTTTACGGTTCCCCAACATTTATCGAAACTGTTTCAGCTAACAACGATAGCGTTGTGCATTTTACATATCTAAGGTGATTAAACTAGCATAACCTACAAACTTCGGATTCTCTATAAACACTAGTATCGTTTGCGTGTTTTATAGGAATGAATTTCAAAGCATGCGTAAAATGTCAGAACAGAAATCGCAAGTTGCCGAACCAAACCTTTAAAAAAGGTGCCTATGTAACGTCGCAATAAACAAATCCATCAAAGGCAAACGGACCTTGGCAACACACAGTAGTTTATTAGCAACCTGGTTTTGAACCAAGTAGTGCAGATTAAGATCGATTTTCGGTCTGCTAAACATTTGGTCAAGAAATGATTCTCCTCAACTTTACAACCAGGTGTATTTTGTTATCACCATCTCACTGATAGGCCGGATTTGTGCTCATCCGTACTCATCGTAATTACGGATTAATTTCGATTATTGCTATCCAAAGGAAAAGGAACGATAGCAGCTGTCATCAATCACCCGACTATATGGTATCTTTGCGATTTTTACCCTCACCATCCTACGGGGCATGTCAAGCATTCGCTTTTATACCCGTCATGACCCATTAATCCATTGCTCCACTTGGAAAGTTGTAATTTTATAAATTCAGGGCCTGGCCATCCAAGTGAATACTCTATACCAAACAAACGAATTTCTTTGTTGGATTCCCATTAGGTTATCGAATATACCCATAGAGTTTCATATGTCCAAGTTTAATACTGATCAACTTTAGATGGCAAGGTTGCCCGACTGAAGGTTCGCCATAGAGTAAATGCGTCCAGTGTAGATGTTGCATTATGGAATACCACCGATTACAGCAGTGAAAGGTTTGCTGACGAATGCGAAATGATCGGTGCTGGGCATAACCATTTGGTGTTTACACCAAGCATAAACATTTACTTGCATACCCATTGACCAAAACTGCCTACCCACCTATTTTCTCAGCGCATAGCTGTCATGTCTGCAATCCGCATCAAAAACGTTAGTCTTCGCGGTTTGTACATCTTGTTCTCAACCAGTTGGCTTGTATATTTCAATATTTAAAGTTTGTTAACTTGTGGAAAACCGTTTTGGGTCTAATAAGCGAAATTAAATGTAGCACTAGCTAAGCCTTACAAGTGATATATCTATCCAGAATAATGAGCCGACTAACCATTTATATCCAATGCTAAGTAGCATACCCAGTTGGGTATGGAAGTTTCCGTCCTCGTTATTCCAAATCAAGTTTTGGACATGTGAAAGACATGATGAATACTCCAGCACTTTTCATCTTCCACTCAGTAATACTTAACCCATAAAGAAGTAAATTTTGCTTTTAGTTTCTTTGTAAATCAGCCATTTACATTTAAGACGTGTTTTTTGCTCCAATTAGCCCCCGCATCGAACGCCTACATCACTCAAACATCCCTGATGTAATTATTCGTGAGCACACTGAAGGTGAATGAGTGACGCTAGTAGATTTCTCACCTGACGACAAAACGGTACACTTCAACGTGAAATCATATTTTGACCGTGTCTTGTAACTCTGGTACAGCAAATAAGCTTTTATTACTAGGACGGCACTGACACCGTAAACACCTATAGTCATAGATTACTCACAACAGCAGAGGCGGAGAATGCTGGAGATGTCACGATAAAGTGTTGGGTGTCAGTGCTTTACCATCAGAAATTCACTTTTTAGGAGCAAAACACGTATATATCCAAGTAAGTGAGTAATGTGAGAAGGACCTTTACTTCTTTTGATGCGACAGCTTAATATGCTGCATGTTACCAGTAAAATGAACCTTTTGCTGCAAGTGGAATCTGGGTACATTAGCAACATTCATGCGCGAATTTGGAATGACCAATTGTCGGTTGGAAGGAAAGAATGGCACAATCGTTTATAATAGGCAAAAAGCACAGGCCTACCATGTCCGGTAGGTTAGTAATTGAAGAATTTGTGATTTAAATATTGCATAAATGGACCGAAGAAAATACGCATGGGCAAGTCGGTAGAGCAATTGTTTTAAGGGGAGTGGTTATGGGAGTGAGATAGTGCAGGCACAACCAAACAAAATATGCAAGAAAAGCGTTGTGGAAAAAGTGAATTCATGCGAAAATTCTACTTCTCAACTTCTCACTAGGAGGCTGTTGCCTCTGCGCTAGCTAGTTTTATCCCTCAAAACATATTTACTAATAAAAGATACAGATATTTATTCAGATGAAGCTGCGCAAAAACTGATGTGCCTTACTATCGCAGAATGGGGAGCGGATATACATTGACGGAAGTCAGTATTTATAGGAATATTGATGTGATTAGTAAAATTAATCATTTGCGCCTTGTTACTAAACGCGCTTTCACCATGTTATAGGCCGTTTCGTAAAAAAATCAGTTACGGATGAACAACTGCATTTTGCAGTTTTTGCTATTGCCAACAACAATTACAACAGAAAGTCACGCAGCTTTCGTGCAAATACCTGGGATGTATTTCGGCTGGCAAGGTTGGATTCCATCTTCAAGATGTCTCTTCCTTCTATTTCTGCACACCGTATCCAGCACAATAATCAACAGAACTGTAATGTTGAAATATGATAAGTTACTTAGGTAAATATAAAAGTGGCAATAGTCCAACGGAATAACGTGATGTGTCTTGGTAGATGAAATATGTGCAACAATCAGCATAGTTCCATAGCTTTGCGAAGTTATGCTTAAGGTCTGGTTTGTTTTGTGTAAGCAATCTAATTTCAGTGGTACTGAGGATGGAGAGCGCAATATAGTAATTCTTTGATCTTAGTACTGGAACTTACTTCAACTTTCTAACATTGGCTAGTTGGAGTTATTTTTCCAGTTTTATCGAGAGGAGAACCATATTTTTCCAAATAATAGAATTAAGCTCATGTGAAAGTCATTTAATGAATTCTTTAGTCAAGGCTAAACGTACAGCTTTTGTCATACGGACACTATCCGTTTATCATTAGTGCCAAACAGGAATTTCAGGAGACATAAACTAAGATAACTCAGTCACCTGGTGCACACTCGTCAAACACAATCATGCAAACAATTATAGATCTAGGAAACACAGTCATATGTGATCGACAACTTGCGAGTCGTTTTCCAACCGGTGAGCCTTGCACTACTACGGTAACGTCAGCTATACATTTAGCTGTCTCTGCACACAAACAGTTATCGTTATCGAGCTATAACAATTGCTTGCGTTAGCCTGATAATATCGCGCCGCTGATTGCGTATCAGGACAGTGAATGACACATCGGAGTTCAATCTGTGCGTGGTGTTCAGCGGGTGCTTTTAGGTTGCTGAGGCAGATCGATTCACCCGATTCCGCTGTCACCGATCCCATTCGGCTACGTCGACATTTGGAAATGTGTTCCCTGATCCTGACACCTAAACCTCGGTCATTGTGCCCTACATAGCTCTTTCTGCAACTACAGGTGATTTTATGTAAGCAATGGGACATGCACTGTCTCGTTGCCATTATCCATGAAACAACTGCAATTCAACTGCATTTTAAGCCATTTTCACTGTATTAAAAATACATTTCGCGGTGATTTTCATAGCACGATAAATTGTGTATAGCAGTTCGATAAGGATCAGGTTCTCTTGGACTGTTGGTGCACGATTTCCCTTAGCTATTTTGCTAAGGTGCTTTAAGAACTGCAGTGGATAACTGCGACTGTATCGTTACGGACAGAAAATTTTTCTTTGTTTCTACTGTGTCTAGGGTGGAACTAACGTAGATTTGATAACACAGTGTCCGGACGAACCAGCGTTAACGATGTAAGAGGGAAAATCTCTTAAAATGCCAATACTGACCTGTCCAGGCTGTTTTTTGGTTAACTGACCTGGTGGAATCAACAAATCGTCGTGCTATCAGTATGCCTAGCTATGGTAGACAATTGTTTTACTCAGTGTCACAAGGCATTGTAACCTTAGAGTACATACTGTTGACTGTGTTAAGCGCACGGACGACGTCCTCGTCGTAATTTGTGATATACAGCATATCACCCCCATAAAATTTGTATAGTGTTACTGACTGCGATATCATATACAATCTCTACGATCATGACCATGAACACGTCCGCCAACAAAAGTCCTAGTGGGCTGCTCATAGTAACACCGCCTTACTGTCGCGATTACTTTACTATAAAACACAACACAGAATGTTTTCATGCAGAATAGAAGCATGTTCTGCATCATTGCCGTGGGGAGCCGCAGTCGGACATTACGTTTTGCGATGAACTAACAGAAATAATCAGCAGTCGCGTTTAGCAGGATTTTGGTACAAAGGGATTGTATATCAAGTGAACAACTTCGCTTTAGGGTCAAGTTAATGCAGTTCAAATGGGCTATGGATTTGTTGACAGGCACACGCATATTGTTCAGCCATTTTGCAATGGAATGGTGCTTTGAATCGACCATGGAAGCACTTAGTTGCACAGCGATTCCTGAGTAATGCACTTTAGCTAAATCGTGCATTTATGAATTATGGGGGCCCACAGGCTTTCCTAATTCACACTGGTCTTCGACAATGAAGGCTTACACTTCCAAGAGTTGTAGTGCACGAATGTTGCAATAGTAACTTACCGAGTTCTATTTGTTTGACCTGTGGGTGACTATTTAGACGTATTCTTAAGCGATGACAGCACAACCTCGTTGTAGTTGGTCATTGAAAACAGTTACTAGTAATCGGTTTACTTCAATGGATTGTACCTGCAATCCGGTGGTCACATGCATCCTATGGTTGGAGGCTTCCGGTTTCGAATTTGCCTGTCACTGTGGCCAGCCACAGGACGCCTGCGCCTACAGAGGGACCATGGATGGCTTGCGCTGCACCACCCACAGCTCCATCCACACACCCCATATCCAGTGTAAACCCGACGGAATAAGACCAGGAGGCATGCGGATGGGAGCCAGGTTTCATCAACGGAGCCGGCCCACACTCCTTCACAGGCAAACACAAGCACACTGTATTTGGGGAATCAAGCGCACACAAGGCGGTGGCTGGACCGTAGTCCGCTCCACACTGAGTGCATGGAACCACTCTTCGAGCCTAGCACGACCACAAGGACCGTGCACCCCGTCCCCTCCAGCAACGACCAACTGTCTCCTGGAGCCAGTATGGACGAGGTAGTGAGTAATAGACAGGTAGGCACCTTGTCAACATGCACATCAAGCGCAACCACACCTGGGATGTCAAACAACAGCCAATCATTCGAAATACCGATATCGAATAAAGTAAACGCATATGACGACATAAATACTCGCTAAATGAGCATATGGAAGAAAGTGTTAAATGTGAATACGCGATAAGTACAAAGTGTCCGAAAGTTATTTCAAAAATACCACGCGATAAAAATAACGCAAGTTTACCACAATTTGCATGAGCGACGTGTGTAAGTTGGGAGAAGATTATCAAGTACGCAGAACAAACGAAATAAAATGGAATGAATTTGATCCACATTAAAAAGACCTAGTTTAAGTGTAAGTTGATTTAGCCGAACTGCGGTGAAGAAGCATCATGAATGCGACATCAGTCTCAGCATGCATCCTATAGGTGCATGGTAAATGTAGGTGTTTTTTAAGAGCTATACTTAGCACAGCATATCGCCGTTTCAGTGAGTCCAGCTAGTGCTGTGCTTCATACGATTGAGATTACTACTAATGGTTCCGTTGAACAGACTGTCGTAATGCGAAGCAAATAAATGCTGATTATAAGAAACAGATGAACTAGTTGTCCAAGGTGTGCGAAAAGAATTGTCTTATTCTAACGGGTAACAATAGCATAAATCCAAACTTTGCCTAAGCATTACTGGTAATTCCTAAACTATTCAACCGGGGCATTTTATCTTTCCCTGTAATTAGTCACTGGTAGTAGCAAGTAATCTTCACAGCTTTTGAAACCAGTACAAGATGTTCCTCATCTTTTGATGGTAGAATGGACCTCAGTCCAAGGTGCGAGCTAACATCAAAGCTTTTACTTGTCAGTCTGGTATTTTATTATCCTTTACAATTCTATATTCATCTCTTCACTTTGCGTATGATAGTGCTTTCACAGAAGCACATAGTGGCCCAGCGTTAAAAATACTGTTTAGGGTATAGCTCCGGCAAAAACTTAGCCGGATCAAACCGATCGTAGCTGACAACTTGAACCGTGTGTGGGGCTGAACAACCTATTTAATACTCGTACAGGCGACGTTGCATCTAAATTACGATAGCTGAAGGTAACTTGTGAGCAGTATGAAATAAAAATTTCCGCCTTGTAGATTGTAATCTATTTCACTTGTCAACACCATCGTCTTCATTTGTACGAATACAAATAATTAGGAGGATTTCTCTTAACCAACAAATTTTAACGTTTTATTATAGATTGTCATTTCTGTTTAAATACTGTATTACGTCTAAAAAATCGTTTAATGATGAAAAGCCACAAGTCACCTGGCATTGGCCCTATCCTACCCTCTCAACAATGTTCAAATTAAAAAGATTAGAAGTACATACAGTTAGGCGAACAAGCTTTTTCGGTGCTTCGCATCAGGTTCTCATCACCACATCGAATAGAATACAACTCGCATAGAGCATTAGCGTCTCTGATCCCTTTTACTCTCTCATTGGTATGATGACTTATTTTGGGTGGGATAGTGGATTGTTGCAACTTGAAAAGTGACTGTCTTTGCAGGATGCAACTTGAATTGCTTACAAGCTAAGTGATACTTGCTCATTCACTTACCCACGCTGAAAAGTCCCAGAGTACAGGCTGTAGCCAACAGGGGCGTTATCGTCTCAATGTGCGGCCAGTGAGGTTGGTAGTACTCAGCAGGCATCGTAGGCACTTTGTCCAAATTAGATAGTGAGAGAATACAGAATTTTTGTCACAGTTGGAGTAGTTAAAGACCAGTGGTGACCATCTACCATAGGTCACCTCAACCAATGTAGACCCGGGGGTGATTGAACCAGTGTTATTTTGTGCAGTCTACTTTGTTAGGTAAAAATCAATGGAAAAGGTGCTAGAAAAAGTGAACCAGGTGCTTAACTTCTACCAGTTTGGTGTGGAGTGGTTGCACCTTCGTGCTAGCACCTTAACATGAGGCATCTACGTTTAGCTAAATTCTACGATGGTGAATATCATTGTAGACCAAAACATGGTAAAACAGAGAAAATCCAGCAATTCTTCTTGTGTGTGTTTGACCCATATGTGTAGAAGGTTGTGTGAGTTGTGCCTTAGACTTTCAGAAAACCTGTCTGTTGAGTTCAGAACTATTATGTTCCTAATTAACATAATAGTGAACGAGGTACTTTCTTTCATAAACAACACTAGCAATTCAATGCCCAACTCACTCTTTGGCCTTAATCATGTCTAAACTGATGTATCTACTCGCTATCATTAAATCGAGGTGAAATTTGACGCACAAATAAAAATGCTTGGTACAGCGACAGACAGAAATTAAAAAGCTTTTGAAGGTTGTGCGAACAGCCTAAGCAATTCCCGTAAACATTAATAGCCAATTTAAATCCAGTATTAAGGAACGTATTAATGTTTACCATGAGTGAAAGTATC